GTTCCGTTCGGACAATAGTATGTTCAGACGGAACGGGTACGGCGGGCGGCCGAGCCCCAGGCGCCGCTCAACTCGCGGTCGCCGGCCTCCCGCCGCCAGTGCGCACCGTCGCCGCGACGCGGCGAGCGCGTCGGCCGGAGCCGCTTCTCGCGGTTAATTCTCGCTTAGGGGCCTATATAAAACGCCGCGCGAGACCACTCAAGGCTTTTATGCCTTTTGCCTGTTGCCAGCTTTGACTGCCCATCAGGTATTCTTTTACGCTCTAGCTAGCTTCAAATCGCCTTCTTGAGTGCATCAGCACGTTGGGCACTTGCCTCGCTCGAGGTATACATTGGCATATCTGCCTTTAACTTTACTGCCTTAAGAGTGTCGTAGACAAGTTGGCATTTGTGGTTCGGTCTTCGGTGACGTAGGAATGGATGTTGCGAATAGGTATAAAGGCTGATACAGATACTGACACTCACCACTGACAATTTCTGTTACCTCGTGCATCTCTTCTCCTCTGGCTACCTCCAGGCTGTTGCTGTTCGTGCCATTGTATATTATGTATATGTGTATATGTCTAGCGGGTAAACGTACGTAGGAATGGATGCCGTGAATAGGTGTAAGATTCAACACAGATTTACGCGCTGTGCGCATACCCCGCAACGGCGGGGTACACATTTATTTGAATATTTATATAGATACACTGTTGGTACGATATGTTGATATATTGTGGCGGCCTACTAGCCGTCCCAATATTATTATACTTTCTTACCCACGCCAAATTTTTATTTTTTTTACGTGTGTTCGTCTTGGCCCAACAGGGGGGGCTTTGTGTCCCCTGGAACAAAGAATTATATATCAGCGTACAGCACTTGATGCAAAAAGTAGAATTGTATTCACTTTCCGTCCGTATTCACCACCGGGGGTAATGTCCCCGGCGGAACATTCACTGAAATTAAAATAAAAGCGTTTTATCTGTATAGAAAAAATCAGTCAGGAAGCTCAATAGCAGCCTGTGAGCAGAGCTTGCTCCGACCCCTCCACAGGTCGGCCCCGCGCTGCAGTACTGCAGGGCTCGGCCCAACAAGTCTAGAGAAACATAATTTCTATGTTTTAGATGCTGGATGGCGGATAAAACCAGTTTCGAGAGTCTGGACCCTCCGGGATTTCGTCGCGGTAAATATTTCCAAGTCCTCGTCGTCGCCGGAGGCATCCTCGGTTTCTCCGTTGTCCAGGGCTCGCGCGCGTTGCTTCCCCTGTAGACAGAATGAAAATAATAATGACTTAGCACAGAGTAGAGCGAAATTCGTATAAGTTTCGTTATACTGTGTGTGAGAGAGAGATAGCTAGTTTAGTGCTTCATTAAGGGATAATTAGTAAGTAATTAGCAAGCGTAGTTTGACAGGTGATTAGTGGTCCTGTGCATGCTGGGGGAGACTGCGTCAGTGCAGGTGCAAATAGAAGTCCCGTGCTTGTCATTATTGTGTTGGTCGGGCGGCATGATCTCTGTGGTATATGCCTATTAACAACGGCTATTTTTCATATTATGTACACGTGGCGAGATACAGAAGCCCGTGTAAAAGATATAAGGTGAAAATTAATTATAAATAAATAAATTGCAGATTGCTACTATTGCTGGGGCAGTGACGTACATGTAACGCGGGGTCACTGTCTACTGTGTTTAAAAAATATAAGTACAAAAAGATTCGCATGCCGCCCGCCACACATAAGTTTATACTATTTATTGCAAAATTCTTAACATCCGACAGCATGGGACAGCGGGGAGCTGTTGTAAAAATCCCTGGTGGCTGTCCCTGTGACAGCTGAACAGCGGTGACAGCTCCTCAGCGACACAGCACTTTATCTGCTGTGTCATACTGCGCCTGCACTGCCATGGGATGCACTGGGGTGGCAGAAAATTAGTGCTATTATATTAATCTCGACCATCTGAGAAAATAGAAATTACAAAAATGGAGAAAATAGAAATTACAAGCTTAGAAGCCTCATATTTGAGAGTCAGTGGTGAGATACTGACACTCACCACTGACAATTTCTGTTACCACGTGCATC